CCCTGCTCTGCAGCGGGCACTCGGGCAGATCTGAGGGTTTCAGCGAGAGATAATCCGTCGCCCACGGGCCCGCGGACCTCCCGCTCCTCTAAGCGCTCCATCCAAGCTTCGGGCGGGGGAAGCGATCCGTCTAACAGATGGTAGCCCTTACGCCCGATGACACCGGAGACCAGATGTCCACCGCGGCATCGGAGGGTGGGCTTTCATTGTCCGATGATGATCCAGACCCGCTCGCCCCCTTCGGGCTGGTGAGCGCTGTCACTACGGATCCTGAAACGGACATGTTAGCCGTGCTTTCCCGGGCTGCTTCGGCCGTGGGTTGGAGATGGTTTATCCCCCAGCTCCGCGGCCGGACCGACTAGAGGGGCGTTCCCTTCTTCCCGGAGGTGCACAGTAGGCTCACGCGGTCTTGTAAAGCACTTTTTTCTGCTCGTGCTGCGTGTTCCTCCACCCTAACCACTCTTGACGGTGAAACAGCCAGGGGGTATGTGGCGATTCCTCAGGTTGAGTGCGCGATGGCGGTAAATCCGCGCGGCGCCTCTTCTTGGCGGGATCCGCCTCGTCTCCCATCCAAAGCCTGTAAGTTATCTACCTCCCTCGGAGCTAGAGCTTACATAGCTGCGGGCCAGGCTGCTTCAGCCTTGCATGCGATAGCCACCTACTAGCGCTACCAAGCGCAGGCGCTGGCCGAGCTGCACGAGGGTGGGTCCAACCCAGGCTTACGAGCTTCGCACCGCCGCCGACTTAGCTCTTCGGACTACTGAGTCCGCTGCGTGTGCGTTGGGAAGGACGATGTCCACATTAGTGGTCCAGGAGCGCCACCCCTGGCTGATATGCGCAAAGTCGACAAAGTCCGCTTTCTTGACTTCCCCATATCCCCAGCCAGGTTCGGCGACACTGTCTGTGAATTCACCCAGGAATTCAAGGCGGTGAGAGAGCAGTTGGTGGGTGATGTCTTATCGGCGGTCCGTAGCCCGCTCCGCCCGCCGTGCCATTCATACCTGCTCCTCGCCGAAGGCGCCCGCCTACGAGAGCTGCTCCGCCCCCGCACACGCCTCAGGCGAAGCGAGCGCGTCGGGCACCTCGGAAGCAGGCAGCCCCCCTGCCCAGAACGCCGCTAAGTCCGGCAACGGACCGCGAAGCGCCCCTGGGACAGGCCATCTGGAGAAGAGGGAACTTGCTCTTTCCCCGCTGGAGGGCGGGGCCCCATTTCCAACGGCACTTTTTACTGCCATGAAAACATTATGAAAGGGCACTTTTCACTTCCCCAGATGTGACAGCCCGAAATCTGCCAGTCTGGGACGCTATGCTTTCTAGCTTGCAGATTCGGTGCGTTTCGCCAGTGGCTCACGAGCGCTGGGAGGACGGTCTCCTTTCTCCCACCCCTCGAGCCTCCCCTCCGGAGCTCGGGTTTGGAGTGAGAGCAAATATCTCACCTCCAGCTTTTCCGTGGGACCCGCGAGCTTCCCGGATCAGCACACCCACTCCGCGCTGCCCCACTGCTGGTACGTCAGCGATTGTAGCGATGAGTCCATTAGCGAGAGCTCTGCCTGCCTGGTTAGCGCGGGCCAGCTCTTCGCGGTGGCTCATACGCACAATCAGACTCGGCTATGCGATTCAGTTCGCGAAACGGCCCCCCAAGTCACGGGTGTGTATTCACCAGGGTCAGCCCCCTGTCCGCCCCTGTCTTGCGAGAGGAGATTGCTGTCCTCCTGGCGAAGGATGCAATCGAGCCGCTCCCTCCAGCCGAGATGGAGAGCGGGTTTTACAGCCCACGCTTCATCGTGCCCAAAAGAGCGGTGGGTCACGGCCAATCCTAGATCTGCGCGTTTTGAACCGCTGCCTGCACAAGCTGCCGTTCAGAATGCTCACGCAGAAGCGCATCCTCCGGTGCGTTCGTCCTCTGGGTTGGTCTGCAGCATTAGACCTGATGGACGCGTATTTCCATGTCTCCACTCTTCCTCGCCACCGACAGTTTCTGCGGTTTGCGTTTGAAGGTCGAGCTTGGCAATACAAAGCCCTCCCCTTCGGGCTCTCTCTGTCTCCGCGGGTCCTCACCAAGCCCGCGGAGGGTGCCTCAGCGCCCCTTCGGCTCGCGGGCATCTGCATACTCAATTTCTTTACGACTGGCTGATTTTTGCCCTCTCTCAGAGCAGTTGATTATGCACAGAGACAAAGTGCTCTGGCACTTCCACCTGTGGGGGTTTCAGGTCAACCGAGAAAAGAGCAAACTCGCCCCCGTGCAGAGGATCTCTTCTCTCGGGCTGGAGCTGGACTCGGTCACCATGGCAGCGCGCCTCTCCGGAGAGCGCGCTCAGCTGATGCTGTACTGTCTGAGAGAGCTCGACAGTAAAATAGTGGTCCCACTGAAACTATTTCAGAGGCTCCTGGGGCATATGGCATCCGCAGCCGCTTCATGCCGCTCGGATTATTCTATATGAGACCACTTCAGCACTGGCTTCACGATCGAGTCCCCAGACGCGCATGGCACGCGCGCGCACACCGAGTCTCTGTTACTGCGCTGTGTCGCCGCGCCCTCAGCCCTTGGAGCGACCCCTCGTTCCTACAGACCTGGGTGTCTCTAGAACAGGCGTCCAGTCTTGTTGTCGTTTCAGCAGACACTTCCAACACGGGCTGGGGGGCTGTGCGTTGCGGGCATGCGGCTGCGGACCTGTGGAAAGGTACCCAGTTGCATTGGCATATCGCCTGGAGCTGTTGGCAGTGTTCCTCGCTCTCCACCGTTTTTTTCCGGTGCTGGAGCGGCAACACGTGCTGGTCAGGACGGACAGTACGGCGGCGGTGGCGTATATCAGCCGTATAGGGGGTATGCGCTCTCGCCGCATGTCTCAGCTCGCCCGCCGTCTGCTCCTCTGGAGTCATCCGCGGCTGAAATCGCTGCACACCATTCATATTAAGGCAAGCTCAACCGTGCAGCCGATGCGCTCTCACGGCAGCCTTGCGTCCTGGAGAATGGAGACTCCACCCCGAGTCTGTTCAGCTGATATGGGCGCGATTCGGGGAAGCCCAGATCGATCTGTTGCTTCCCCCGAGATCGCTCATTGCTAGTTGTTCTTTCCCTGACCGAGTGCTCTCGGCACGGATGCACTGGCTTACAGCTGGCCTCGGTGCACGCGCAAATACGCGTTTCCCCCAGTGAGCCTGCTCGCGCAGTTACTGTGCAAGGTCAGGAAGAGGACGAGGAACAGGTTGCTGGTTGCGCCCCTCTGGCTCAACCGGACCTGGATGTCAGAGCTCTCCCTCGCGATAGCCCTCCCCTGGCAGTCCCTTCGAGAGAGCACCTACTCTCTCAGGGACAGGGCACCACCTGGCACCCTCGCCGATCTTTGAAGAGATTTTAGACGCGAGGAAGACTTAGGTAACCTCCGATTGCGGTGGCTAATACCGTCACTCGGGCTAGAGCCCCCTCCCCGAGCGCGCCTATGCCCTGACGTGGAGTCTATTCACTGAATGGTGTGTCTCTCGCTGAGAAGACCCCCGTAATTTGCCAGATCAGCGTTGTGCTTTCTTTACGCCGAGAGAAGCTGGAGAGCAGGCTGTCGCCCTCCACACTCAAGGTTACGTGGCTGCCATCTCCGCTCTCATAACGCGGTGGCTGGCAGCACCGTGGGAACGCATAACCTCATCATCCGGTTCCTCAGGGGCGCTAAGCGAATTAATCCATCCCGCCCCCTCTCATGCCCTCTTAGGATCTCGCCCTCGCTACACAAGCCGCGTCAGATCCCTTCGATCCTCGACTCAGTATCTTTCTGTCCCTGAAGACAGCTCTGCTGGTCGCGTTGATATCGATTAGAGGGTCGGGGACCCGGAGGCATTTTTCGGTCAGTGACTCGTGCCTGTAATTGGGCTGGCTTCTCTCACGTCCTGAGACCCCGCCCGCGATATGTGCCCAAGGTTTCTACCACTCCGTTTTAATACGAGGTAGTGAGCCTGCAAGCGCTGCCCTCGGAGGAGGCAGACCCAGCCCTTCTTTATTGTCCAGTTCGCGTTTTGCGTATTATCCGGACCGCACTCAGAGTTTAGATCATCTGAGCAGCTCTTCGTCTGTTATAACGGTCGGCAGCAGGGAAGTGCCGTACCGAAATAAGTTCCCACTAGATTGTGGATGCCTTTCTTTCACTATCAGAGCCGAGATGAGCCGCGTCCCCCGAGAGCGCGTGCGCACTCCACTCGGAGTTTCGCATCCTCTCGAGCGCGCGCACGCGGCGCCCCTCTAACAGACTTCTGTAGAGCTGCGGGCTGGGTGACACCCAACACATTTGCAAGGTTTTACAATCTGCGAGTGGAGCCGGTTTCCTCAAGGGTATTAGGTAACCCTTGGTGATTGAGGAAACAATTCGATAGGGTGTTGAAACACGCTTGCTGCGCCATTTTCCCTAACACGGAGATACGTGCGCCTTTTTATCTGTCAGTAAAGTTCCCCGTCAGGTGAGCCCTGCAGATTCCTCCGTGGCCCCCAGCACTGACTCAGCGGAGGAGTCACTTGCTGGCCCACTACGTTGTAGGTCTGCCCGCTGGTCAGCCCGCGTTTTGGGTAAAGGTGCCTGCTATGCGTGATCCCCACTAGGCGATCCCATATGCTTATTCCGCCACGGTTAAGTCCCCCCCCTGGGCGGACCCGTGTCTTCCCTCTCCGCTAACCACTCTTTTGCTATGCGTACTCCCCCTTTTTAGGGCTAGTCCATATGTAAATTCTGCCATCTATCCCCCCTCGGGTAACGGATGGCCTCCGCAGCGTCCTCCCTATCGGGATTGCACGCTTCCCAACGTACTGTCGTATTTCCTAGAATTATCTAGATGCTCACGACTTCCCAAAAAATATATCTAAATCCGTAAAACTTCTGTTGAAGTAGGATAAATTAGGGCCAGGGACACGTTGGAGGACCGCGCCCCCCATGATGCGGGTGCGTCACGCTTGCTTGACTATCTCCTCATCGGGGGTGTTGGTAAGGTGCAGTCATTATGGCGCTTTCAATGGGCTCCCAATGCGTGGATTTTACAAATCAAATCCACTTATAGTGCTGAAGTTCCCCCCGAAGGGGAACGTTCGAGGTTACTAAAGTAACCCTTCGTTCCCCGAGGAGGGGAACGGAAGCACTATACTCCGTCGCCATAATGACTGTCCCTTAGCTGTTGAAAGTCTCTTCAGCTTAAAAAGGATAGCGTCTGCTGGCGCCAGGTGAGCTTATATACTCAGTTGATTGCTTATGCCGCTCACCTGCGCAGGCTTGCGCTGCCAATTCATTCTTAATTGGCCCGTTCAATACTCTTTCAGACGAGTAGCTTCTGAACCGAACCTCCCCAATGCGTGGATTTTACAAATCAAATCCACTTATAGTGCTTCCGTTCCCCTCCTCGGGGAACGAAGGGTTACTTTAGTAACCTCGAACGTTCTCTAATTTTATGCAACATTAGTACACTGAACAATTGCTGTAATATAATGTTTATATACATTAATTCTAATTCTGCAATTCTAATTCTCTTCAATTATTCACAGATTCTTGAACATGTTTTGCCTTAATTAAATGAACGTCAGTTATGCAAACTTCTCTAAAAGTTTTAATGGGATGGATATTTTCTGCAATCTGCAAACTTTTGCGATTGACAGAGCAACCCTGTATATGTCTGTATTAAAATTGCAATATAAACTCTTAGAAATAAAGGTACGTGAGCTATTACTGGGGTGGTACCTTTTCAAAAGGTACACATTTGTACCTCAAAGGTCCAAATTAATACCTCAAGGGTACATATTAGTACCTAAAAAGTACAAAAATGTTCCTGTTAAAATTTTAGGTACTTATATATCCTTTTGAGGTACTGAAATGGACACTTGAGTACAAATGTGTACCTTTTAAAAAGGCACCACCACAGCGACAGCTTACATATCTTTATTTTTTAGAGTGTATCATCACTTTAAATCATTCTAATTTAGTTTCAATGGCCTCCTGCATAGTTTTACATCCATGCAAGGTAAAAAAATGTAAATTTTCTAATAATATTCATTCGAGACTGAAACAGTTTGTTCAAGGATCTGTTCTCTCTGAACCCAGCCCTTCTGTGACTGTCTACTCTGTGCTGATTGGTCAGATCAAGGCCCGGTCCGTTGTGATTAATCAGCCGCTTATAGCAACAAACCCCCATTGCCATATCTGACTTTTGGATCAGAACATTTAAACACAGTAATATGACAGTAAATATGACAGTAAATCCTGATTTATACTTTTGTGTCCAGTAATCATCATGCTCTGAGTCTCTTTCCTCAAAAGTGAATTTCCCTTTAATGGCTCTACAGAAAACGCCTCTTCTCAGCATGAAGCACACTATGAACTCTTCCAAGCCTTAGTTACAACTGCAGCATTTGAGAGTTTAATAAATGTTGTCCACTGCCAGCCAATGACCGGCATTATGCAAATATTTTACAAACATGTATCTGCTTGTTAAGTGTGACATCATGCGAAGCGGCTTTCGGGTCCAAGCGCTATATCAAACTGTATGGGAAGAGTCAACAAATGGTGATAATTAATGTTTACAAAGCGATTAAATTCTTTTAAAAATCATAATCGCAATATATACATCTATACCTAATATCTGATGGCCAGGAAGTCTTTTTTTTTTTTTTTTTGTTTTTTTAGAAATTGTGTCTGTAATGTAGCAAGTACATCGTGATTTTCTATAAAATTGACTTTAAAGCTGCAGTAGGTGATTGTCTTCCGAAACAGTTTTTGTTTTGCTGGTTAAAGTCTCTTCACATTCCAAAAGTAATTAATCTATATGTATTTTAATATTCTGGATAAGGCATAAAACAAAAAAGTTCATCCAATTAAATATTGTCGGACCGACAAATAACTCAATTACGACAGGTATCTCAAACTGTCTGTCAACAAATTTAAATTTGATTTTGTGCGCTGCCTCTTTACGCAAACAGATACGTCACTCGCGCGCACACGTAAAGCACGGGTCTGCCACTGACAGAGAGAAATCATCTGGCAAACTCTGCATCAACCTGAACTTCTTTCTGAAAGACCAACGTGGCCTTGTATGCGTGAAAAGAAAGATTGTTTCTGAAAGGGCTTCTACCAAAAAATGCAGAATCAAAACTTTTCTAAACGCTGAATTAATCTCGGAACTACTTTTGCACGCTTGGAGGGAAATGACATTATGCACGATCTGAAGGATGACTCCACGACTGAAGTATTTCTTTTAGACAGGTATGTTTTATAACTATTTTAGCCACGCAAATCTGATGTAGGCTGTGTTGTTGTTTATGAATGGGTTTATATGAATGGAAGTGTTCTTCAGCCTTTGAAAACATCCGGCAAAAGATTGGCTATGTTCAAGTTAATGAAGTGTATTTTACAGCATTAATAATATAGTCAGCTAAACAGACCAGAACATTCGTTTAGTTGTTCAAGTGAAAAAGAAGCTGAAAATAAGCGACGTACGAGGGTCAGCGTTTCACAAATCACTTGTCACTTGTTGTAAACGTGAGCAATGTAAAAAGATGAAAGGATATTTCTGTTTTAAGCACTCCTTTCTTCTGATCTGATTTTAATTTAGTTTAATAACAAAACATAATTAAATGTGCTCTTCCGCCTAACCAGCGTTACGAGGTGAAGTTTGATTTTTATTCACACATTCGTTCATTTTTGAACAGTGACAGCTTGTGACAGTTTTGGGGAACTATAATTCCTGCATCCGCTGGCCTGTCCACAACTATGCTTGCTAAAGTGCGTGTCTCTGTTGAGTTTTCTAACTGGTGAATGACATGATCTAGTGTTATATTCAGTGCACGTTCACGACTTAAGGAGGCGTGGCTTTGGGCGGCAGGGGAGGGGCGTAAAATTTAGATCACCTACTGCACCTTTAATGTGTGACATTACTAAAAAGCGGTAATAAACATATATTTTCTCAATTTAAATGTATAGTGGCTTGGACCCGGAAAGAAGACAGGAATTATTGATGACTTCCTTCAGGCTGTTTAGAACTGCTTCTTTTGGAAAACAAAACCTGTTTGGCTTAGCTTAGCTTAGCATAGATAATTAAATTGGATTAGACCATTTGCATCTTGCTAAAAAGGAAAAGGAAAAAAGTTTAGATTATTTTCCTGTTTATAGATTAAAACTTTTGTAGTTACAAAATACTATATATATAGGAACTATACTCTCATCCCGGCATAATAATCAAGGAAATTTTCCTGCTGAAGCTGCAGCAGACACAATATTACGCAGTCAAACTTTAAATAAAAAAACATCAAAATTATTTTTTTCTTTTTTGTGTGTGTGTTTGAGATGCTAATGGTCTAATCTGATTCAAAGATCTATGCTAAGCTAAGCTAAGCTAAAAGTTATCCTGCCAGACCAGTAAATTGGCTGAATGAATTCAAAGATGGTACAACTCAACTGCTTAACTCTGAAGAGTTTTAAATAAGCCTATTTCAAAAAAAAAAACCTTTTTCATCTTACCACAAGATGTAAACAGGCTTTATATGGTGCCATATTGAAGCAAATTAAAGCAAAGATAGAAGTGGATGCTCTTAATTCAGTCAGTGCAAAGTTACAACTTGCGATCCAATAATGATAACATGACGCATAATGACTGAATTGGGAAGAACATATCTGCAGCTCTTATATGTGACCAATCTCCTGGTGCCGCTTTAAGTGTTGCTTCTCTCTAAAGTGTCTTTGTGCTGTCTGTTTGTGATCCCTCCATTACCCAAGGTGTCAACCGGTGGTCGGCCAATCTATTACGTGTCATCCAGACGAGACGTGTTTACACCCATGAAGCTTCCCAAATACACCCTTCCAAAGGTAGGCCAGCTCATTCGCACTCGCTCGACACGAAGTCAGAGTCTGACAGAGTAAACAGACTTTGCTATTTCAGACCCAGACCATCGTGTGCTTCGATGTTAGTCTTTGAAGCTTTACAAAAAAAAATAATAATAAAAAAATAAAAATGTGATTCTCTGGCATATATATAATATTAGTGTAAAACAGCTGAAGCAATGTTATAAATACTAGGCATATTATGATTTAAAGGTTTAGGGTTGGTAATAGTTTTGGCATGTACAGTACATTATTTAAGCAAAAACACTTAAAAATTCTTAGTTTTTATGGATTTACTGGATTTATTATGTTTAACTAATGATATTTCAAATAAGCAAGCCTATTGTGCAGTATTTATGGCATTGTTTTCTTATTTATTTTAGTTTGGATAGAAAAAAAGTTTTCTGATACTGAGTTTTCACTTTTTTAAAGTGATCTTAAATTCAATATTATTAACCCCCTTTAAAAATACTAAAAACTTTCCTACTTATCCTAATTAACCAAGTTATCGGGATAGTTCACATTAAAATGTAAATTCTATCAGTATTTCCTGTTTACATGTTTCAAGCCTTTATGAGTTTCTTTTTGCTGAACACAAAAGAAGATATTTTGAAGAACGCTGGAATCTTGTAACCATTTACTTCCATAGTGTTTGTTTTTCCTGCTATTAAAGTTTAATGGGAATAGGCTCTCAACATTCTTCGAAATATCTTCTTTTTGAATTTATTTATTTATTTATTATTATTATTATTATTATTATTATTATTATTATTATTATTATTATTATTATTATTATTATATACTTTATTTGGTCATGTGGAGTGTTTTATTTTTTTTACTCTTTTTATACCGATTGTTATTGTATGCTCTAAATGACATCTTTATTTTAAATATAAATGCTGTTTTTGGTGAAAAATCCCTCTAAACCACAGGTGTCAAACTCAGTTCCAAAAGGGCCACAGCTCTGCACAGTTTAGTTCCAACTCTAATTAAACACACCTGATCAAACTAATTGAGTCCTTCAGGCTTGTTTGAAACCTACAGGTAAGTGTGTTGGAGCTGGGTGGGAACGAAACTGTGCAGGGCTTCGGCCCTCCAGGAATTGAGTTTGACACCCCTGCTTTAAACCTTTAAACTGTATTTTAAGAAGAATAAAATTATCTTGCAAAACTTTCATGATGGCAAAGACAGGTCATCCTGTCCCTCAATGTTAGTCTTTTAAAGCTAGCTATACAAAAAAATAAAAATAAAAATAAATCAGTTTTGTTTTTCTCCTTTGACTGACATTTGAAAAATAAATGAATAAATAAACCTAAAACTTGGTTACTTATCCTAATTAATCTAGTTAGAGCAATAGTTCACACAAAAATAAAACTTCGATCAGTATTTGCTTTTTACCAGTTTCAAGCCTTGAAATGAGTTTCTTTTTATTGAACACAAAAGAAGATGATTTGAAGAATGCTAGAAACCTTTATCCATTGACATCCATCGTATTTGTTTTCCATACTATGGATGTTCAAAGGTTACAGGCTTTCAGCATTTTTCAAAGTATCTTCGTTTTTGCTTTCAACAGAAAAAAGAAACTCATAGAGAGTGAGCAAATACTAAGGAAATTTTCTCTTTTTTTTGGGTGAACTATCCCTTTAATCCTTCAAACGACTTCAAATTTTAAGAGATCTACTATAGTATTTTGCAAAATAACATATAAAATAGTATGTACTGAAGGATTAAGGGAAAAAATGAAAAGTATGAAAAATTAAAATTTCCTTACTATTCACTCACTCTTTTTGAGTTTCTTTTTTTCTGTTGCAGCCAAAAAGAAGATACTTTGAAGAATGCTGAAAGCCTGTAACCAACAAACTTCCATTTACTATAGTACCTTGCAAAATAACGAATAAAATAGTATGTACTGTACTGTCATGATGACAAATGATCTGATGATTTTAAATAAATAAATAAATAAATAAATAAATAAATAAATGAATAAATAAAAAATGAATGTATGTATGAATTAATTAATTATTTAATTAATTAATCAATGAATAAATAAATAAATACATACATACATAAATGAAGAATGAATGAATGAATGAATGAATGAATGAATGAATGAATGAATGAATGAACCTAAAACTTTCCTATATCCTAATAAATCTAGTTAAAGGGATAGTTCACACAAAAGTAAGAATTCTATCAGTATTTGCTTTTTGTACCTAAATACTACGTGAGTAAATACTAAGTACATTTTTATTTTGGGTGAACTATCCCTTTAATCCTTCAAACGGCTTCAAAGTTTAAGCAGACCACTAGTACCTTGCAAAATAACTAATAAAATAGGATGTACTGTAGCAAAGACAGATCATCTCGTTCCTCAGTGTTAATCTTTAAAGCTATCTTTACCAAAAACAGAAAAAAAGAAAATCAGCTTTTTTTTTCTCTGCTTTCGCTGGCATCTGGCAGGCCTTTACTTCTGAGGGAGTGAATTTCAGGGACGCAGATGCTACCGCGCTCCCTCGCCTCTCAGGATGCTGTGTTATTATTCAGAGCTTAAAAATCCGCCGCGCTCGCATGACAATTAAACATGTTTTATTCAATCAAGCTCTCGGCGCTCCTTACAGCACACACCCGGCAACTCTCTCGCGGTCTGGGGTAGATGAAATTCGCAAACTGCCAGCGTGTGGTTTTTTCGCCGACTGACAGGCTCAATTTGGGGCTAATAAGAATATTTGCCGAACGCCGGAGCTGTGAGCAAAACAAGGCAGGTGAGACCGGGCTCTGATACTGATTATTAATGGGATTCGGCTCAGTGGGGTGAGACCGCCACTGCTCTCCAGCTGTCCCCTGCCATCCCGACAACAACATTCATATTCAATCTCACTTGATTACAGGCAGAAATCACATTAAAGGTTAAAGTCGTCCTCCTCTGGTATATGTAAATGAGAGAGGTAAATGCGTTTGGATGTTTTGAATATTAAAAGGGACTTAAGTTTTTTGGGAGTTCGGCCTACTTTTTTTTTTCTTTTTGATGAGAGCGTTGGATCACTTGAATGACTCACTTATGAACCTAGGTGGAAAATGACTCATCTCCTGTTGAAGTTTGTTGATGGAGCATTTGTGATATAAGTGCAGATAGGGTGCAGACAGACAGGTAGATAAATATAAAATTACTGTACAGCAACATCATAAAAAATGAGGCTGTTGTGATTTAGAAGTTTGGGTTTGATACAATTTTTATCAGATATAATGAATGTGTGTGAGTGTGTGTGTGTGTGTGTGTGTGTGTGTGTATATATATATATATATTTATATATTTATACAATAGTTCTGTCTGGTTCTCAAATCTTATTGGCTGATAGCCGTGCGATATTCTGCAATATCAGAACTCCTACAGCCTTTTTACCCTTTATGTATTACTCCGCCCACATACAGCCAGCAAAAAGCAGACACTACAGATCTAAAGTTTAAAAGATGCACGCTGAACTGTTTAACTGTCAGCTTATGATTTGAATCCGGAAGAAAGTAGTTCCTCATACAAAAAGGTTTTTAAGACTCTCCATGTTTGATTTTGTTTTTATATACACAATTATGCCGTCAAACTGTTGTATAAATGCAATATCACACTCGTAGCAGTGCGATATGGCTGCATATACGCACTGCTACTCGTGTGATATTGCTCATATATTTATATATATATATATATATATATATTAGTGCTGTCAAAATTAGTGCGTTAACGCATGCGTTTAATTTTAAATAATTAACATGTAAAAAATTAATTACGCAGTTAACGCAGTTGCAGGTTTTTTTACTTCCTATTGTGGTCGACGTGTGTTTATCATGCAAACAAATATGAATAAGACCAAGAAAGCAGTTTTTGAAAGCAAGTTTCAGTATATAACAATTACTGTCGCATCACCAGGCTCTCCAGAGTTTCATGTAATTTCAGGTGTGTCATTTTTAACTTTTCACTTCTGTTTTAATGGAATTTGATACCGCATGGCAAATGTAAAGAAAACCTCTGCATTTTGCGACTCGGTGGTCCTTTAAGGTAAGCAAAAATTGCTGCTTGCATGGTCGACTATTAATAAGAGTATTATCTTAATCATATTCATATATGTACAAATACTTAGAAAGTGTCAGATGAAGTTGCGAGCTGTGAAAGACGGCACATTCATCTGCCTTTCTGCCTGAGCCCTTCAATGTTTCATTAAGTTTGACGTGTTTCCTCCTTAAACGCAATGAAAGCGTATGCTTCGCACTGTTGTATCAGAATCCTTGTTGAATACAGTCATACTTTAGAACGCTTAGTTTAAGCAAATTTGATGAACGCGATCATGCGTGTTGAATCTGAAGGGAGTCGCTCCGGCTGCCCTGTCATTGCGCGCCTTGTGTGTGTGTGTGTCTGTCTGTGTGTGTATCTGTGTCAGGCCCGTGCACAGAGCACAGAGCCTTACAGGCGAAGGTGCTCAACGTGATCGCAAACTGAAGATCAAGTGCCCCCTTGAGAGCGGCACCTCAGCCAGTGAGGGCAGAGGGGCAGTTGCTCTGGCCACCGGGCCACCCCCCTGTGCACGGCCCTGGTCTGTGTGTCTGTGTGTGCACACACACGCGCGTGCGTTTCTTAGCAAAAAACCTGCCTAAACGTCTCTGTTCGTAGCCCCTAAATCAAAAAGTTACAAATTGGGTTGTTGCTAGAGCGGATACGTTTGCGGCCGGAAGTTAACGCTAATTATTTCTATTATTTATTAAATTTCTCATTTGTTGTATTTTATTAACGTCTACCCCCACCCCAACCCTAAACCCAACTGTCACAGTAATGTAAAAACTGTAGTTGTACCAAGTATTAGTTAAGTTATCTATTAAATAAACCCAATAAAATGTATTTGTTAATGCCTACCCCCACCCCAACCCTAAACCCAACCCTCACAGTACTGTAAAAATATTAATTATTGTTATTCATTGTCATAAAAAAGGCTGCTTTATTAATGTGCATATCGCACTTCCGGCCAGCCACATATCTGATCTAGACTTTACCTACAAATTGCCGTGCTCAGCTCACATCATTCAAAAGAAAAGGTTCACATTGTCCCCCGATAATGTCAACAGACTGGACTGTCTTAGCAAATGGATGAATGTAAAGGAGGACTAAGCAAAATTGTTTCTAATTTATAATTAATGTTCTCAACTCACAGCAATACAACTTTTTAATGAATTGTTTGTATTCAATACTTTAATATTAATATTATTATTTTCCAATTTCCATATTTGCAATGCCTGTATTTTGGCATTTTTTTGCAGTTTACTTAGAATCCAACTTGGAAATATTTTTTTTTTTCTTTATTGGCATTGATTGTTTTGAAATTCAAATGGCATTAACAACCCTGTGTTTTTATTTCTGTAATAAATATGGCTGTCAAGCCAGGATCTTGATGGTTTATTGTATATTTGTTTTTTAATTAAAGAAAATCTGTGTTACAAGTTAAACAAAAATTCTAATAAACAATTATATTTTGAATTTAAATATTGTTTTGGTCTTGTGTTTACATTAATTTTACATTTAAATAGCCAAAATTACAAGTTTTAGTCTTTTAAATGCGATTAATCGCGATTCATTTTCAAATTCAAGAGTTCACACTTAGCTGATGATTGATAATAAGGCTAGTTTGGGGTGCTGTCCCGGGAGAGAGCCCTGAGCTTATAATATCCACGAGCCCTGGGCTCCCTCCTGTTGTAAGGCGTGAGGGGAGTTTGAGCTCAGGTAGATCTCGATGACTCCCCCTCTTGCTTATTGTAGCTAAGTGTCAGATATGGATGTTGAAGGTGTACTCCGAGTTTAGCTAAAATATTTTGGATTAATTGTTTAGAGTGTTTGTTTTTGAACTGTGGGAGGAAACCGGAGGACCCGGGGAAAACCCACGCGACCACGGAGAGAACTAGCAAACACCGCACAGAAATGCTGTCTGGTTTGGAAAGGAATTAAACCAGGGGCATTCTTGCTGTGAGGCAACAGCGCTTATCGCTGGCTACCGTGATGCCCGTTTGAAAGGAAGGAAAGTAGGGTTGTGTTGGGGGGGGGGTTCTTCGAGATGAAGATATTGAGATGAGAAAAGTCTGGTTATTTATAGTGAGTTAAGGATCGTCTGATAGGATAATCAGTTATTAGCTAAAGTCAGAACAGCTGTGAACAATCATAAGCACATGATCCTCTCGAAATTTGTTTATAAATAAACTTCACAAAGTGTGATTAATTAGTTTTCAATTTGACAGCACTAATATACATACATACATACATACTGTGCAGGAAACATAAAAATAAATTAACAATTTCTTTAATTTAAATTGACAACCTCAACAAACAAATAAAGGGACTAAACCACAAAGAAAGAAAGAAAGAAAGAAAGAAAGAAAGAAAGAAAGAAAGAAAGAAAGAAAGAAAGAATGAATGAATGAATGAATGAATGTATGAATAAATGTATGAATGAATGAATGAATGTATGAATGAATGAATGTATGAATGAATGAATGAATGAATGAATGAATGAATGAATGAATGAATGAATGAATGAATGAATGAACGAAGGAACAAACAAACGAACGAATGAACGAACCTCAACAAACAATCCAGTGTGTGCTAACAGCAGTTTGAATCACAGACCAATTATTCCGACTGTTTTATGAAACGTCCTCTCCTGTTTTCCTCAGGATCTACATGTGATCAGTACAGACGAGAACCGGGTGGTGGCAGCGGTCCAGGAGTGGAACCAGAATGACACTTACAACCTGTACGTGTCCGAGTCCGGAGGCATTTACTACACGCTGGCTCTGGAGAACGTCATGAGCAGTATGGGCCCAGAGGGAAACGTCATGATAGATCTCTATGAGGTACTTCACAAAAAAAAAAAAAAAAAGAAGAAGACGTAGTCTGCTGACTCATTATCACTGTTTCATGTTCACAGTTTGTTAAAAGCATGAGCAAAGTGAGTGTGCTAATTAATGCTAATTGAGCGTAGTGCTAATTGAATGCATAGCAATGTTAAATGATTTAGGCAGGAATAGCCACAGATTATCTGAACAGAGAGCAGATTGGAGCATTAAAATAATGCTGTCCATGCATCTTAAAGTGTCACCATTTATTATTTACTCCCATCCCAACAAGTCTGTTATTCTAACAAAGGAAATTATTATTGTTTGAAATGTTGTTGTTGTTGTTGTTGTTGTTGTTGTTGTTGTTGTTGTTGTTTTTAGTCCTACAATTATATATTTGTTTGGTATATTTACATTTATTTTTGAGGCTAGAGTTCTGTTTTATCACTCTTAATCTATCACCAAGTGTTAATTAGTCTTTAATAATAAAAAAATGAAATAAAACAACTACATTATTATTATTATTATTATTATTATTATTATTATTATTATAAACTAATAATAACATTTAAAAATTGCGTATCATTTCAGAAGCAGTTTCTTTCATAAACATTCACACTGGAACCCATTTCCAAGCATCCTATGTTATTCAGACACTCACGTCATATATTTCTTTATAGCATTTTTAAGAAAATCTGTTAAAAAGGTTTGCAACTATTCATACTTTGAAGCAGCTAGATGGATTTGAGTCTGAAAAATGCAGAAAAATATTTAGCTGCCAGCCATAAAAAGAGAAAAGAAAAAACATCCTGTTCCTGATGTAAAATCGCCTGACCTTCTCAGCGTTCAGCTCTGATCAATGCCTTTCCAAATACTTTTTATGCAACAAGAAATCTTACAAGTGGAAAGCAGGCCTGCCTTTAGGGTTTCCTGAAGTTTTTTTTTTCTTTTTTCCAGTAGTGCATTTGGATGCGAACGTGCTGGCAGTGCACAAATACAGTTGAAGTCAGATTTTTTTTAATATTCCCTAAATGATGTAGTATTTTTTCACAGTATTTCCTATAACACCTTTTTCTTCTGTCTTATTTATTTCAGCTAGAATTAAGGCAATTTAAAATTTGTAAAAACCATTTTAAGGTCAATATTATTAGCCCCTTTTGCAATATTTGTTTTTTTACCGATTGTCTACAGTAGGGTGGTTCCAAACTTTTTAGCCAGCGACCCCCAAAAGAACAATTCCACTGACTCGCGGCCCCCACTATCCTCGCAGGTGGTTTTAAACAATTAAACATTGCACACAATGGAACTAAAGTATATAAAACAAGCGACAACACAAAAAAGTGCAACAGTCTAACAACCATATAATTTTTTATAGATTTGTTCAATTTAATTATAATATTTAACATCCACCTGGATGACGCAACGACAGCCATGTTGCCCCACACACCAGCTGACTGGTGGAGACGGAGTGATGGACAGAGGCCAATTAGCAAATTTGGCCAGAATGCCTGGGTTAAACCCCTGCTCTTTGCTGTTTGCTACGTAAATGCAAACAAGCGGATACGAGTCACTTTTAAAAGATGATGTAAGCAGGTAATCAAAAAAAATGGGATACAGTCCCAAAATCGGAATTGACCATCAAGATCTGCAGTGTAAATGCAGGCTAAATGTCACATTAAGCTGAATACTAGGACCCTATCATACACCCGACGCAGTAAAGCGCAAGACATGTTCGGCACGATTTGTTGCTATTTTCAGAGCAGAGCAACCCTAATCTTCACATTTTGTAACACATTGTTTAAAAAGCAAATCCATTTGCGCTAGTTTGTGAAAACATGGGTGTTCCGGTCTATGAAGGAGGTGTGTTAAGGCGCATTGTGGGCAGGTCGTTGTTTTGAGGAACTGAAATAGACCGCACCATTGAAAGCGTGTCTAAAGTCCAACGCAGAGAGCGTTAGTTATGCGCGTGGGTTTAAACATGTGGGTTTAAACGCTTAATACACACGGGATATACAGCAATATACAAATATCTTTGCATTTGAAAAAAAAAAAAGAGGTAAAATGTGACAATAATTATTATTTACTGCATAGACAAAAAATGGGTTTGGGTTACAGTTCATTCATGAACAATTTGCAATTGTATAATTCTAATATTGTTAGCAATATTATTTATTATATGCGTATTTTTATTTGTTTTATTAAAAACAAGTTTGGATTTATCCACTTGTCGAGTTTTAGAAATGTATGCATCACCATATAGGGCATAAGAATGAGACTTGTGTTTGGCTATAACTCCACTTATTATTATTATTATTATTATTTTATTTTATTTTTTTATTTTTTTTTACTATTAATTAATTTATTTGCTGGAAATTAGAACTAAATTTAGAAATAGTTCTGAAATAAATCTTTGTGCTTAACAAACAAAATTAAATATATGAATGCTAATTGTCTTTAGTGGAGTGCGTACAACACCGTTTCCTTACTCCACAAAAGAAAAGGAGTAAAGTAGAGTCAAAGTAAAATAAAGAGAAAGAGGCTGAATGGAGGAGGCTTATTTTCTATCCTCGCAAAGTTTCAGTTTCAGCGCTCAGTTTATGTAAATAGCAAATGTGCAATGGCGCGATGCAACTGACTCTTAAAGGGAATGGGGGATGAGACTCTGATTGGTTTTATACACATTTTGTTCAAAACACACCCATAAAGAATAAGCACAACCCTGTTAGACCATGCTCTGGGGCGCAAAGGGTAGTTTTCCTTTCTTAAAATAACAAAAGTGGATTCGGACACGCCTTTCATGCTTTTACACCATAAGTTTTAGACATTGTACCTAGACCTAAAAATACCGAAAAAAACAAAACAAAAACAAAACTAGACTAAAATAGAGCCGTTAGTATCTTTAAAAATATCTAGTAAAATATTATGTACTGTCATCATGGCAACGATAAAATTAATCATTTATTAAAAATGAGTTATTAAAGCTATTATGTTTAGAAATGTGTAAAAAAATGTGGGGAAAATATATCTGGGGGCTAATAATTCAGGAGGGCTTATAATTCTGACTTCAACTGTACATCACTAGTGAAAAAAAGTCAACGCCCAGTGATTAGTGTTTAGCTGTTAAAGCGTCAGTTTCTCTGTGAAGCATGAAGCCAGTTCTCCATTCACACACCTGAAGATGAGAGCTCACAGAGGCCAGCAAGTGTCAAGCTATCTCCTGATCAAATAATTAAACTGTTGATGATGGCAACCCTCATAAAACTTGCGTCTGGCCCCTCGGATAGGCTGAAGAGTCCAGAGACTTGATTGAGGTCGCCACCTCCATGTAACATATGCTAAAATCTCTGCCGTCGGCTAGATTGAAATATTCGTCAATTATTGAATAGGCGCGTGGCCTCTGAGGACGCGTCTCCACTCCTTTCTAGAGCATCCCAGCCCTGAAGAGATGTCACTTCTGTTCAGGGCGGACATGGATTACCTTCCCATTCCCTTACATTGCACTTCAACAGACAGATTTTAGAGCAGCTACTTGTCAATTGTTCAGTTGTGATGTGTAGCATGTTTTAATAGATGAACAAATAAATCTGTGTTGTTCGCAGCATGTGTCTGTGAGATTTCAGGCTATAATAGTGAACTGAGCAAACGAAAATCTTTCATTATTTATCATCACATTGGCCACTATTTGGTAGTGAGAAAAAAAAAAATGCTGATTTTTGTGTTTGTTTGTTTGTTTATTCGTTCGTTCGTTCATACATTCATTTATTTATTTATTTGGTTTTTGCTTTTATTATTTTTTAAATTCTATTTTATTATTAATATTATTTATTATGTGTTTTTTTTTCATTTATTTATTTGTTCGTTCGTTCGTTCGTTTGCTCATTTATTTATTTATTTATTTTATTATTATTATTATTGTTATTTTTATTATTATTATTAGAATTATTATTATTGTTTATGTGTTTATCTGTTTATTTGTTCGTTCGTTCATTCGTTTGTTTGTTCATTTGTTTATTTATTTATTTTAGTTTATTACTATTATTATTTATTATGTGTTTGTTTATTTATTTATTCATTCGTTTGTCAGTTCATTCGTTCATTCATTTATTTATTTTATGTTTTTGTTTTTTAATTTATATTGTTAACATTATTTTTTTATTATTTGTGTGTTTATTTACTTCATTTATTCGTTCCATCATTCATTCGTTCATTAATTTATATATTTAATTTATATATATTTTATTTTATTTTTATACTATTATTATTATTATTATTATTGTTATTATTATCATTATTATTATTATTATTATTATTATTATTATTATTATTATTATTATTAATATTATTATTATTATTATTTATTATGTGTTTGTTTATATTGTAATAAATATTAATGAAGATTATAAAAGATAATTAGTCTTCTTGTGTATCTATAAATTACGTATATGTAAATATCCTTTTTAAAAGTGTAAATACACATTTTTTTAAAATAAAAAATACACTGTCTGCCCATCTGAGATGAGGGCCTGGATTGGTAAACATGACAATTGTTGTTTTTATTTGTTTGTTTGTTTATTTATTTGTTTAATTGTTTGTTTATTTGTTCGTTCGTTCAGTTGTTATTTTAATCGTTCATTCAATTGTTCATTCATTTGTTCTGTTGTTCTTTTGTTCATCCATTCGTTTAATTATTCATTCATTCAATCATTCATTCATTCATTCATTCATGTATTTATTTTTATATTTATTTATGTATTTGTTTATTTTAGTTTTATAGTATAACACACTGTGAGTGTACATGACTGATTATTTTTGTTCTCTTCTGACAACTTACAAAGTGTTCAGACTTAGAAACTGTGGCACATGATGTCAGACTTAACAAGCTTTTCAGAAGTTCACTTGAAAAGAAAAAGCCACATCAAGTACAGTAGTAAATGCACCACGGCTCACTTTTCTATAGAAGGATTTGGTGCAGAAATGATTATTAGTGTCGTGTACTGTATGTTCCTCATTATTGTACTTTGTTTATGTCCCTTTCCCTAGGTGGCCGGGATAAAAGGCATGTTCCTAGCCAATAAGAAGCTAAATAATGAGGTAAAGACATATATAACCTATAACAAAGGACGGGACTGGAGGCTCCTGCAGGCTCCGTCGGCGGATCTCAGAGGAAACCGCATTCACTGCATGTTGGTGAGTGAAAAAAAACGGATGGAGAAAAAGAGAGATTTGTCCAAATGCTGGAGTTATGAAATTTGACATTCATTTATGAGGTCAAAGCTCTTATGAATGGGCAATTTATCACATTTTAGCATATGAAACATTAAACTGGGTTGGGAGTTTCTTCACTTTGCCCTGCAGAATCCAATTCCCTAAAAAAATTACCATATTTATTATTTGATATGAAATTTATTTTATTTTATTATATTATTATTTTTTATTTTATTATCTATTAATTAATTTAATTTAATTTTGTTTTAATTTAATTTAATTTAATTTAACATAAATTATTTATTTTTATATAATTTAGTTTATTTAGTATACATTGGTTAATTTTAATTTAAATATAATTACATTTAATTTTGTTTTAATTTATTTTATTTTATTTTATTTTATTTTATTATTTTTATTATTTTTATTATTTTTATTTTATTTTATTTTATTTTATTTTATTTTATTTTATTTTATTTTATTTTATTTTATTTTATTTTATTTTATTTTATTTTATTTTATTTTATTATCCATGCATTAATTTAATTTAATTTAATTTTAATTTAATTAAGCACAACTTTTTTTTTTCAAATTTAGTTTAATTTAATTTTATTAACCATACATTGGTTAATTTTTTATTTAAATATAATTACATTTAATTTTGTTTTAATTTAATTTAGCTTTATTTTATTTTTAATTATTTTATACACATTAATTTAATTTAAATAAAATGTTATTTAATTGTGTTTTATTTTATTTTATTTTATTATTCATGCAATCATTTATTTAATTGAATTTTGTTTTAATTTAATTAAGCATATAATTAATTAAATTTGTTTCAAATTTTGTTTAATTTTATTTTATTTTCCATACATTGGTTAATTTTTAATTTAAATAAAATTGAATAGAATTTTGTTTTAATTTCATTTGTTTAATTTAATTTAATTTAATTTAATTTAATTTAATTTAATTTAATTTAATTTAATTTAATTTAATTTAATTTAATTTAATTTAATTTAATTTAATTTAATTTAATTTAATTTAATTTGTATAATGTTGATACAAGGAAACCTACATTCTGCAGTCATGTGAATATTATCGAAATATATTATGATAAATAATAATAATATACAATAATTTAAGTAATATAATTAATATAATATATATAAAAAACGTATAAATATTTTTAAAAGATTATTTAAACATCCATCTAGAACATTTCAAACACATGCATGATAGCATATATGAGTGTTTTTTTTTTTTCCTACATTTTTTTTTTTTATTGAAAAAAATAGTGCAGGTGACCATTTGTAGTTCACATAGTTCACTGCCATTTGTGCCATTATCATCATATTCTCCAAAATATGTAGTTATATTGTTATATATACAGTATGGCCAATACCGGGAGAGCAGAAAGAGACATATTTGTCTAAAGCTAGATTTATGAAATCTGACATTCATAGATGAGTTTTATGAGGTCAAAGCTCTTATGAATGCCCATTAATCACATTTGAGCTTATGAAATATTAAACTAGGTTGGGAGTTTCTGCACTTACCCTACAGGCTCTTTCCTAGCTGACTAAATTGATTCTCAGAAAATTTTCTTAACTTTCCTGTTTATTTCTGCAAATGTTTTATCTTAGTCACACTAAAACATGAATTACTTTTTCATTAAGGAAACATTTTATTTTTAGAATTATGCAAATAATACGGGATAATTACTTTTTTAATGTTCTATGAAGGTTTTAAAACAAAAAGTAAAAACCTTTCAGTCTTTCTGGCTTAAAGCATATATACAGTATATATATTTTAAAACACAGGTTAAAATAATCCGAATCATGTCTATATTTATTGAGTGATAATGATTTATTACATGTAACCCTCCAGTGGTATCCTTCATGTCGCAACCAATAATTCTGCCTATTGTAGAATACACATACAATATATTGTTGCCATGGAGACTACAGTGTCAATGAAGAGCTAATAAAATATGATACACGATGTGAGGGAGAAATAGTAGAAGACAAATCAAGATAAATAACCAATCACTTGTAAGTAATTTCCGGTTAACATGTAATTTTGTCAAATTAAGTAAAAGCTAATAAAAGATGTAAGCTTTATTTAAAACATTGAGAGATAGCCAGTACTATAGAAATAAATAAATAAATAAATAAATAAATAAATAAATTAGTGAAAAATAAAATAAAATAAATACATAAATAAATGAGTGGAAAATACAAATAAAATAAAATAATTAAATGATTAAATAAATAAATAAATAAATATATGTGCGAAAAATAAATAAATAAATGAGTAAAAAATAAATTAATTAATATAAAACAAATAAAATAAATTAATAAACAAATAAATAATGAAAACAAATATTCAAAATAAATAAATGAGTACAAAACAGATAAAATAAATTAACAAATAAATAAATAAATAAATACATACATACATACATACATACATAAATAAATAAATAAATTAATAAATAAATAAATAAATAAATAAATAAATAAATAAATAAATAAATAAATAAATTAATTAATTAATTAAATGTGGTTAAAGTTAAAGCCTTTTTATTTTTATTTTTTATTAATATCTTATTTTCATTTATTAAACTACAGCAATAGCTGGATGCCTTCATCCAGTTTAGGGATTTCCTGGAATGTTCTACAATTTTGAGGCATATATGGAATTTCTGCTCAAAAGCGCCCAGTACAAATGAAACAAACATTACATACATGACATTACATCCATTTGAACATGTTTATGTTGTTTATTCAGTGTTTTTTTTTATATATTACTATTACTACTACTACTACTACTACTACTAATAATAATAATAATAATAATAATAATAATAATAATAATAATAATAATAATATTAATAATTATACACAACCAAAATGTCTTGAAGTACCAGTGGATGTGAGAGTTTGAGATAGCTCTACATAATCAGTGCCGCTTGTCATTTCAAATGACAAGACGTATATTTCATTCAGTAGAGATATTATCATCCCTGGTGAGCGGCCTCCGCAAAACCTTCCCAAAATGCAAACAAAAATAATTACCCTTTGATAAACTCAACTAATTAACGGCCCCGCCATTGGCCTTGCTTTCACCATCCATTACAGAGCTATTTGTTAGAAAATGTCAAAGTTTTAATAAACCCCTAAACAACCCTTGCAACATGTGCTTACCATTGGCATTTCCAGACTTATAATGAGAATCATGTCACTAAAGGTTATTCCAATCAAAATTAATGTTGGGAGGGGGGTGGGGGAAAGTCACAAGGTTTTGGCATTATGGGATTTGCTTTTTTCTAATGGTATTTTATCGGAGATCCAGGACAATGACAGTTCAATGGAGGCCACACACACACACTCTCACACACATGGATTTACGGTTTCTTCCTGATGAAGATGATTTGTCTGTGTTTCTAACAGCCGTACTGTTCTCTGCATCTTCACCTGCACGTGTCTGCAAACCCATACACATCTGGAAACATTGCCAGCCGAGAGTCAGCACCTGGAATCATACTGGCGTCAGGTGAGCTGAAAACTTTTTTTTTTTCCATTAAACTCTAATACAGTTGATAAGTCATGAAGCTGGGAGATCTCATAAGTATGTACACAAACGGTTTGATATCTGTTTAATTAATTAATTAATTAATTGGTTGATTAAATGATTGGTTGATTGATTGATTGATTGATTGATTGATTGATTGATTGATTGATTGATTGATTGATTGATTGATTGATTGATTGATTGATTGATTGATTGATTGATTGATTGATTGATTGATTGATTGATTGATTGATTGATTGATTGATTGATTGATTGATTGATTGGTCGAATGATTGAATGATTGGTCGAATGATTTATTGATTGGTAGTTTATGGATTGAATAATGGGTTGGATGGTTGGATGGTTGGTCGGTTGGTTGGTTGGTTGGTTAGATGGTTGTTTAGTTGGTCGGTTGGTTGGTTGGTTGGTTGGTTGGTTGGTTGGTTGGTTGGTTGGTTAGATGGTTGTTTGGTCAGTCGGTCAGACCTTCGATCGATCAGTCGGTTGGTTGGTTGGTT